TTTTTTTTTTTTTGAGGTGAAGTATCACTCTGTCGCCCAGGCTGGAATGCAGCGGCATGATCTGGGCTCACTGCAACCTCCATCTCTTGGGTTCAAGGGATCCTCCTGCCTCAGCCTCCCAAATAACTAGGACTACAGGCTTCTACCACCACACCTGGCTAATTTTTGTACTTTTAGTATAGATGGGGTTTCACCATGTTGTCCATGCTGGTCTCAAACTCTTGACCTCAGCTGATCCACCTGCCTCAGCCTCCCAAAGTACTGGGATTACAGGTGTGAGCCACCATGCCCGACCAAAAAAAAGCTATTTTTCTACTCTGGTTGACTAGCAGAGGAAATCATAAGGTAGCTCCACCATACCAAAGACACCAAAAAAATGGCCCAGCAAAATTGTTAGTGGTAAACTCTGGCTGAATTTGCTTGTCGTATAGTAAGAACGGTTAGAGATTAATGGCTGGGCGTGGTGGCTCACGCTTGCATTCCCAGCACTTTGAGAGACCAACTCAGGTGGATCACTTGAGGTCAGGAGTTTGAGACCAGCCTGGCCAACATGGTGAAGCCCCATCTCTACTAAAAATACAAAAATTAGCCTGGCGTGGTGGCACACGCCTGTAATCCCAGCTACACGGAGCTGAGGCAGGAGAATCAGTGAACTAAGATGGTGCCATTGTACTCCAGCCTGGGCAATAGAGTAAGACTCTGTCTTAAAAACAAAAAAACAAAAACAAAAACAAAACAACAACAAAAAAAACCTGGTAGAGATTAGCACATGAACTCAATCTACACATCTGGCTTTTAAATACAGGGCAGAGGTTGGTGGTGTTCAATGTAGTAGAAACACAGTAACCTTGGGAAGATTTTAGTCATTCAGGTTAGTCTGTCTCTCTCCAGATTTATCTCCTACCTTGATCAAATTTATTTGATTTAGTGGTCATTTGTTCATTCAATGGAGGCATCATGTGGATCAAGACAGAGCACTTATAGGTTAAATCTCCAGCTGGTCAACAGCCTAGGCTCTAATGTGGCATACTGTATTCAGAACGAAGCATCAGTTGCACCTCCGAAATTTTTATCTACTTAACCCAGGGAGACCCAACGGAGCTCTTCCTGATGTCTCTGGGAAATTATTAGTTAATGCTAAGAATTCCTGGCCAGGCGCAGTGGGTCATGCCTATAACCCCAGCACTTTGGGAGGCCAAGGCAGGAGGGATCACTTGAGGCCAGGAGTTCAAGACCAGCCTGTGCAACATGGTAAGACCTTTGTCTCTATCAAAAAAAAAAAAAAACAAAGAATTCTCTGCCAACAACTTACATGGCTGGGTTTGCTCCCTTTCCCAAACAATCTAAGTAGAGTCTATGTATGTCCTACCATAAGAGAGGTGCATGAGAAACATTCCATAGGCAGCTATTTCCAATGCCACTTGCTGGGCAGCAGTCTGATTTAGGTAGTTCTGGGGACAGTGAGACACCCTGCACAATAACCACCAACATGGACATGCTGGGTTTTGTTGGCATTGGTTTTTAAAGAACATACTCCTGGCTGGGCACAGTGGTTCACGCCTGTAATCCCAGCACTTTGAGAGGCCAAGGCAGGAGGACTGATTGAGCTTGAGACCAGCCTGGGCAACATGGCAAAACCCCATCACTAACAAAGAAATACAAAAATTAGCCAGGTGTGGCGGTATGTGCCTGTAATCCCAGCTACTCAGGAGGCTAAGATGGGACAATTGCTTGAGCCTAGGCGGCAAGAGGTTGCAGTGAGCTGAGAATGTGCTACTACACTCCAGCTTGGGCAAAGAGCCAGACTCTGTCTCCAAAAAAAAAAAAAAAAAGAAAAAAAAAAAAAAAAAAAATCCTGTTCTTAAAGCACATAAATGTTAAATATGCACATATAGTAACACAATTTCTAAAAACAGAAATAATTATAGAATAAAAGTATTATAGTTGAGTTTAACAATGTAGTCAGTCCTCCTAAGTCAAAGATAGATTATGGCAAACAATAGGAAATTCATTTTTGAAAAAAATTATAATTACTACAGATCAATGAAAACACCGATATGTTAAAAGGATGTATACCTGGTCTGCACAGTAACTGGTAAGTACCATCTTATATCCACTACGGTTTGGAAATACCCCTTTTTCTTTTTAGCTATCGGACCCACAGCCTGCAACAACTGGCTCTGGGTTCAGGATTCTGTCAGTGTTCTGTGCAAATCTGAGCTCTCTAGTTAAAAAATCTGTGAGTGTAAACGTGAGAAAATAACCCTAGTAGTCAAAGTGTCAGGATATAATATAAAAGAACAACATTATCATTCAACAAAAACTTGAAATTATCAAACAAGTAGAAAAGATACTAAGGCAATATTGGTTTGATTCAATCAGCAACAAGTTTAGAGACTGCCAATGTCTTAAGGAATCTGCCAAAAACCAAACCAAAACAAAACAAAACATTTGTCTCTGAAATTTAAAAAATGAATTGTAGATTTCTGAAACAGGGTTTGTGATCCTGGGCAATGCTAAGATTACTTGCCAGAGAGAAGAAGATACTGAAAGGTGAATGTAGAAGCCAACTAGGAGGAAATGTGGCTATTTGATAACTGCTTAGAATGTGATGATTGGTATTTTATGCTGTTGTATTATTTACTGAATATTTTAACCAGAATTTTAACTTCTTCACACCCAGTTGTAGACTGTAAGTTAATATTACATGCATTTTAATTTCTTAACTACCCCTAAAGTATTTTCAAGATTAAGAAAGCTAACTTCTTAATAGCAACTTAATTGTAAGTATTGTCTTACCATCAGAGAAGAGATGCTCTCTTTCAACAAATAGCTGTAGAAGCTTCCTCAGCTCATACTGGGTCTTACACTGCTGTAGCATAAGCTTCAAAAGGAAACACACCTGATCCTCCAGCCACATGGCAGGGATGACAGGGTGGACCTTTGTGGCTGCTGTGTTAAGCTATGAAAGGAAAAGAGAGGCTTAGGGAAAGCAGTTTCATGAGAATAGCAAATCAAAACCTCCAAATCTGGGAACCTCTAAGAAACCTAAAATTCCCTCAAAAGCTATCTCCTGTCACAAAGGGAGGCGCTTACTCAGGTCCTTTCCAACGGCAGGAACTGGTAATGGGGCTCGGAGGGCTGGCAAAAACAAGCCCTTCTCAGCAGCTCTGCACATTGTCTCTTTGTGGGAAGTTCTGGTATAGAGCTGCATGTGTGAAAAAGATGGGCAAGAGTCTTCAAGACTGAATATTAACTATCGAATTAATTAATGTAAAATAATCCCACTTAGTGACTGTCAAATTAATGCTGCTTTGAGTTGCTGTGAAATTAACCAGATGTTTCACTTAGCAGCTTTTTTTGGGGGGGGGGGGCCAGGACACAGAGTCTTACTCTGTCACCCAGGCTGGAGTGCAGCGGTATGGTCTCTGCAACCTCCGCCTCCCAGGTTCAAGAGATTCTCCTGCGTTAGTCTCCTGAGTAGCTGGGATTATAGACACCCACCAGCACGCCCAGCTAATTTTTCTATTTTTAGTAGAGATGGGGTTTCACCATGTTGGCCAGGCTGGTCTTGAACTCCTGACCTTGTGATCTGCCTGCCTCAACCTCCCAAAGTGCTGGGATTACAGGCATGAGCCACCATGCCTGGCCAGCAGCTTCTTAAGGGGGGGGATGTAGGCCTGCCCCTGAATCCAGAAGATTTTAAATTCACATTATAAAAACTGCTTAGAAAGACTTGCCTAACATCACGTGTATACTTTTGTAACAAACCTGCATGTTCTGCACATGTACCACAGAACTGAAAGTATGATTTAAAAAAAAAAAAAAAAAAAGACTTGCCTAACATTACTTAGCTAATTCTACCACTTTGCTTTTAGTTTATTCTTGTTAGAGAAGGGTCTCACTTAAGAAGCCTGGATTTATATTATTTCAACTGAATTCTAAAAATATTAATAGGAAGATGAATTCAAGTGGCAGGTTGCATTTCTACAAGTAGGTATGGCAAAAATATCTTCTAGGATGCTGCAGGAAAAGGCAGACTTCAGAGGAATGGTGCTTTCTTACCTGCTGCTGCTTTTTTTTTTTTTTTTTCTTTCCTTTGTGTTGGTGGAGAACAGGGTCTCACTATGTTCTGTTGCCCAGGCTGGTCAAATTCCTGGCCTTATGCCATCCTCCCGCCTCTGCCTCCCTAAGTGCTGGGATTACAGGTATGACAACTGCACCCCACAGATGCTTCTTTTGTGACTTCATTCTTGTTTTTTCTTTGGCTCTTGCTTCAATTCATATCATTTTCGGAAGACTAACATTTGGTTCTCAGTCACTATAGTCTCGTTGTTCACTCTAGACTTCATGCAACATAATCACAAAAATTACTGGGTCTTTTGGTGAAACAGAAATTTAACTGTCTGGTTTCAAAAAATGTATATGTTAATAGGCACCAAATTCAGTACCTCTGTGCCTAGTACTGTGTTAGGCCCTAGTCTTGGCTGGATACTTCCTGTATACCTCTGAACGCACTATAAACGTCACTCTCAAGGTAAGTTTAATATGCACAGACTTTGTGGCTGTGATGTAGGTTTTAGAAGACAATATTCCCTTCAGTGGAATTCTCAAGACTGCCAAGATCTTAAAGGAATAGGTTATAAAATCTATGTCACATTACTGTTATCTTCTTATCCCTACTTGGAACGAATTTCCTTCTCTATCCTCTTTCGGATTCCGAGGTCAGGAATTCAAGACTAACCTGGCCAACGTGGTGAAACCCCGTCTCCACTAAAAATGCAAAAATTAGCCGGATGTCGTGGCGCGTGCCCGTATTTCAGCTACCTTAGCACACCCTGTGTGGTCCTCCCTGTAGATTTCTAATCCTCCTCTCAAATTCCAACAGGACTTACCTACTCGTAAGTAAAAAGAAGATAATTTGCTTTTGCAGCCTCTCCCTTAATGCAAAGTATTTACAGGAATTACATCGGTAGTCAGCTCATTAAATTAGCTACTATTCCTGCTTAGACATTGTTCCTGAATGCTTCCTGTAAACACGGTGACTGGATTTTGATGTTTAGAAGAGCAAAAGTACTTCTACATATTTTTTTTTTTTTTAAAGTTTCTTGATTCTTTATCCTCCTGAGTGTCTCCTTGTTAAAATTGGCTGGGATTAGGCCACTAGTCCTTAGTCCTTAATTACTTATATACCTAACTCTATTGCTCTAAGAAGATGAACTAATGTGAGCAGATGATGGAACTGGTTAAAGGAAAAAAATACATTGAAGTGAAGGACTGAGGCAAGGATGGGAGCAAATGTACTGCTCTTTTGCAGAGGCTGGAGCAGGGCTAGTCAGGCAAGAATAAGAAGATACCTGGGAGGTATCCATCCAGCCATAAGGAGTAATAGGCTAAGGAAATTAATGTGTCTCTTTTCTGTGGTTTCAGAATCCTAGGCATATTCAAATAACTGATTTGGTGGTTTCCAATATGTAAGTTTCAAAGCTTCATTACGGTTAAGGCCAATGTGGCCAGACATGGTGGCTCATGCCTGTAATTCCAGCATTTTGAGAGGCTGAGGTGGCAGGATTGCTTGAGGCAAGGAGTTCCAAACCAGCCTGGGCAACAAAGCAAGACTTCATCTTTATTAAAAAAAGTGTTAAAAATGACTGGGTGCAGTGGCTCATGCCTGTAATCTCAGCACTTTGGGAGGCTGAGGTGGGTGGATCACTTGAGGTCAGGAGTTTGAGACCAGCCTGACCGACACGGTGAAACCCCATCTCTACTAAAAATACAAAAAATTAGCTGGGCATGGTGGTGGGTGCCTGTAATTCCAGCTACTTGGGAGGCCGAGACAGGAGAACCACTTGAATCTGGGAGGCGGAGGCAACAGTGAGCCAAGATCACACCACTGTATTCCAGCCTGGGCGACAGGGCCAGACTGTCTCAAAGGGAAAAAAAAAAAGACAACAATTAAAAATCATCCAGCATGGTGGCATATACCTGTGGCATGTGCCTGTCATCCCAGCTACTTGGGAGGCTGAGGCAGGAGGATCTCATGAGTCCAGGAGTTCAAGGCTGCAATAAGCTATGATCATACCACTGTGCCTGGGTAACTGAGTGAGACACCAAGTCTTTTAAAAAAAAAAAAAAAAAATGGGGTGGTGGTGCTGGGCATGTTGGCTCATACCTGTAATCCCAGCACTTTGGGAGGCCAAGGTGGGTGGATCATGAGGTAAGGAGTTCAAGACTAACCTGGCCAACATGTTGAAACCCCCATGTCCACTAAAAATGCAAAAATTAGCCAGGTGTGGTGGCATGTGCCTGTAAGTCCCCCCAAATTAGCCAGGTGTGGTTGGCAAGTGCCTGTAGTCCCAGCTACTTGGGAGGCTTAGGCAGAAGAATCGCTCGAACCCAGGAGGCAGAGGCTGCAGTGAGCCGAGACTGTCCACTGCACTCCAGTCTGGGCAACAGATCGAGAGGGCAAAAACCTCTACTGAAATTCTACTGGTACATACTTTTATCTTATTTATCATAAAGCCTTTTAGGATAGAAAAGGCAAAAGGGCTAAAAATCCCAAACAAGACTAACACATACTTCCACTTTTTTTTTTTTTTTTTTTTATAACTTAGTCTGTCTTTTCTTAAGTCAAACAAGACTTAAACAGGCATCTGAATAGGTAAAGCCTGAAACTGACCACATAGGTCAACATCATTTGGACAGGGACAACTAGGATTGTTGATGGAAAAAACCATTCTATTTTTTTGTTTGTTTTGAGAAAGAGTCTCACTCTGTTGACAGGTACCAGCCTGGAGTGCAGTGCCATGATCTTGGCTCACTGCAACCTCCACCTCCTGGGTTCAAGCAATTCTCCTGCCTCAGCCTCTCGAGTAGCTGGGACTACAGGTGCATGCCACCGCACCCAGCTAATTTTTGTATTTTTTAGTAGAGATGGGGTTTCACCCTGTTGGCCAGGATGGTCTCGATCTCTTGACCTTGTGATCCGGCCGCCTCAGCTTCCCAAAGCGTTGGGATTACAGGCGTGAGCCACCGCGCCCGGCCATTCTATTCTTTTCTTTTTTGAGACAGGGTCTTGCTCTGTCACCCAGGCTGGAGCGCAGTAGCATGATTTTGGCTCACCACAACCTTGATCTCCTAAGTTGATCCTCCTGCCTCAGTCCCTCAGAGTAGCTGCGACTACAAGCATATGCCACCATGCCTGGCTAATATTTTTTTTTTTTTTTTTTTATAGACAGAGTCTCACTTTATTGCCCAGACTGGAGTGCAATGGCATGATCTCAGTTCACTACAATCTTTGCCTCCCGAGTTCAAGCTGTTCTCCTGCCTCAGCCTCCCCAGTTGCTGGACTTCAGGCGAATGCCACCACGCCCAGATAATTTTTGTGTTTTTAGTAGAGACGGGGTTTCACCATGTTGGCCAGGCTGGTTTCGAACTCCTGACTTTGTGATCCACCTGCCTTGGCCTCCCAATTTTTGTATTTTTTTAAAGCTTTTTTTTTAACCAAATACCCAGACTTCAAGGAGATAAATTTGTGTTTTCTGTGGAAACGGGGTTTTGCCATGTCACCCAGGCTGATCCTGAACTCCTAGACTCAAGTGATCCATTTGCCTTGGCCGCTCAAAGTGCTGAGAATACAGGTGTGAGCCACCATACCCAGTCCATTATTTTCTGTCACAGTGAATAAAACAGAATTAAACATCCTTCACTCTCAGCACTGCTGCAGTTATCCTGGATTGGCAAAATCTGGCCCATGTATCACCATTCTCCTCTCTAGTGCCTACAGCAGATACTATTAATTTCTTTTTCAGTCAGCCTGGCTGAAGCTCACTGAAGCTTACCAGGATACTGATCACAGTTATCACATTACATAAAACTTCTCAGTTCATGTTCTGAAACTGGTAAGCTGCTGTGAGGTCACTGCCACTCCTACCCCAGTTTTTCCATCTCTGGAATGGTATAAATGATATCGTTTGAATTATATACCATAGAACCACTATTCTCCTGCTACCCTATCCTAACTACTAGCAGACAACAGGCTGTCCATGCCAGCCAATTTCAGATCAGTGAGAAAGAACACCATAACTGCAACTTACCATTTCAAGGCTCTTTTGAAACTCCAGAAGTTTAGCTTCGGCTTCTTTATAATTCTTGAAGAACATACACAGTTCATACATCTCTATCACCAACAGTAATGGGGAATCCTTTGACAAAGAGTTTGAAAAAAAAATTACAAAATTTTGAACTTAAAAATTTTTCAAATAATGTCAAATAAAAGAATGTTAAAAATATTCTTAATAATGTAGGGCACGGTAGCTCACGCATTTAATGCCAGCACTTTGGGAGGCCAAGGCAGGGGGATCACTTGAGGCCAGGAGTTCAAGACCACCCTGGCCAACACAACAAAACCCCATCTCTACTTAAAACATAAAAAATTAGCCAGGCATGGTAGTACACGCCTGCAATCCCAGCTACTCCAGAGGATGAGGCATGAGAATCCCTTGAACCTGGGAGGTGGAGGTTGCAATGATTGCCAAGACTGCCACTGCACTCCATTCTGGGTGACAGAATGTGATTCTGTCTCAAATAAATAAATAAATAAATAATAAAAATAATTAGCCGAGTGTGGTGGCATGTGCCTATTAGTCCCAGCTACTCGAGAAGCTGAGGGAGGACCACTTGAACCTGGAGGTCGAAGCTGTAGCTATGATCATGTCACTGCATTCCAGCCTGGGCAACACAGCAAAACTCTACCTCAAAAAACAAAATGCTATTATCAATAGCTTCACAGGTTAAATCATGTACATTAAAAAGAAAGTTAAATATATTTTCTTTTTTTTTTTTTTTTTTT